ATGAATGAATTATTTTCAAGAGGGATATTTATATTTGTTTTTCTCTTTCTTTGATGGCATCACGTTTTAAAATTAAGTATGACCATGGACAAGATCAAAATGAGTTCCTGGGATTTTGAATATTAATCAGTGGACATTTTCCAGGATTCCCAGGGGCTGATTTTTAGCGACCATGGGAAAGATCTCATGAGTAGACCTTTCATTACAATTTCCTCAGAATAGCAAACTCCCAGCTGCCCCTTCCACTAGAGCCCATGATTTAACTCTGCAATTCGGTTTGACTCACTGACTATAAAAGTGACGGAAGGAACATGCGGGAGTCATTGAGATAGTTCAGGTAAAACCCACTTTAAGGAACAGATAAGACAATTTTGATATAACTAAAGGATTCTTCACTTTGTAGATTGTCACCTCAGAAACATTTAAAATACTTTTTAAAAAATATAAAATTATTTAAAATATATTTACTAATGAAATGTCTCCCATGGGAATTAAAATAACACGGCTGTTCCACAGGAGATTGTTCAAGGCATGAGAGAGGGTGCAGTGGGTAAGAAAGCAAGTTTGGAAGCAGAAGCCAGTGTTGGAGTCATAGGTCCATCGTGGTGTGTCATGTCCAGAGATTAGGTCTGAAAGCCCGTCCTCTGAGTCTCATTAGAGAGAACAAATCAGTCAGAGCAGAAACAATCAAGCCGGTGGCTAGAGCTGCTGTGACTAAATACCTGATTTATTTATGTTTCCAAATGAAGCATTTAAAAAAAATTAAATGAACGGCTCTATTAATTTTAAAATATCCTGTTACTGCATTTCACTAAAATATGTTGACCTTCCTTAAATATTTAGAGAATGGTGTGCTCCTAACCTGAAAGGATTCATATTCCTAAGACAATTAAGCTCTAGAAGAGATGATATGGAAAACTCAGAGCCTCATAGTAGATATTTGTATGCCTGTGATAAAATCATTGTTTTTCAGCACGTGGAAAAGGGACATGAATAAAACTATTTTTTCTTAATTTTATCACTAGGAAATACTAGAGAAGAGACCATCACTAGCTCTTGAAGGCAATCCTTTTTTTTTAAATGTGTGGATTATTGCTACATAGTTGTTTAATTATTTTGCTGAAATGAATTCTCTGTTCACTTATTTATATGCATTTTAATAAAGGCAAATTTTCAGAGAAAAGATAACATAAAATGAATAAGTAGCTTCTAGATCCCTTCCTATGAGAAGGGTAAATGAGGAGCTCCTTGGGGAAATGACATTTGCTAAAACTGTGTTGTCCAAAACAGTGACTATTTAAAGTTAAATTAATTAAAATTCAATAGAAGTATCAATTAAGTTGCTGTGTTAACACTAGCAACTTCTTGAGGGCTTAATAGCCACTAGTGGTTACCACCTTGAGCAGCACACATATGCAACACTTCTATATCACAGAAAGCATTGCTCTAAAATGTCTGATTTTAAGTGAAAAATCAGATATGTAAATAGCAACAACTCACACACAAATACATATACTGCACATACATCAATTACTTCAGCAACATTAATAATTGAATGGATCTCACCACTTAAACAGAAGTGGAAAATGAAAAAGAAAAGAACCCTCAGGTTGCTTTGTAAAACCTGCCAGAGAAGATGAATAGCCATTATAAGAATAAATTTAGCTTTAATGGAGCAGAGTAAAAAGAGAAATACAGCAGGTAATTCCTAAGGTTTATTACAAAAGTCTTAAAAGAGCAACTTTGAATGTATAGTTTACTTGTTAGTATTTTATACTTTGATAATTTAGAATATTAATATTAAAATTATGGTTTGGAGAATAAAAGTGAAAAGCAGGTTATTGTCATATTTAAAAAATCCCAAGTAGTTTAAACTTGAAGAACATTACCCAAATCACCAATGCTATTTGAAGGATCGTTTGATCCAGAATTTTTCAGCAGAAAAGAATAGATTTTTACTCTACATACAGGTGAAGCAAACTATGCAAATCAGTATCTAAGACTCTGAATATTCCCTTTACAATTTACTGGTCTTAAAATATCTGAAGGAAATTCCATAGATCAGATTTTTATATACCTACAATACAGTTAGTCAAAACCATTTATATGGATTTATTTTTCTTTCATAACTATCACGTCACCCAAATTTATCTAATTGTGGATTTGTCATGCTTGGCATTTAATTTCCAGTGAGCCACATCTTCCTGGAATCACTGAAAGAGCGGTTACAGTATATCCCAAAGAAATCGTGAATAGAATACACCAGCATGTACCGGAAGCACCATGATTTACTTGACACCAATACATCGATGAGGAAAACTGAACAGATCTAATCAGGGTGGGTGGTGAGAGCAATTAAACACAACCTAGGAGTGGGTCAGCAAGCATAGGAAGGAGAGTGAGGGGAATGCTAGGCCTTTCTTGTGCTGCTACCCTGACCGTGTAGTTGAGGATAAAGGGGCGGGAACTAATCCCACAACCACCTCTGTTCTTGAGTTTTGAGATGGAATCATCAATTTACATTGATTTGACTAAATTCTAAAAATGCAGAAAATTAGGTAGCTATATTTTAATGATCTATTCTAACTTTATTTTTTAAAAGATCTATTGTAAATTTATTTTTTTGACTAAATTCTAAAAATGCAGAAAATTAGGTAGCTATTCTAAGTTTAATGATCTATTCTAAGTTTATTTTTTAAAAGATCTATTGTAAATTTATTTTTAAAAAATTTCTACTGTTTATGAAAGAATACATAGTACCTTCAAGTATGAAACTGTTGAGGGTAGTTAAAATGTTTAACTAGTAAGTGAAGCTATCAATTCTAGAAGCATAGATTCAGGCAGAAAACCCCTGGTGCCCTGATTGCAGAGTGAAAGCAAGAGGTTTTAATAAGGAAGAGCATAGGAATAATTACATGAAAAGAAGAAAAAAACCCTATTGGCGCTGACAAGCTGACTCTTGCCTATATGTGATCTGTTACTGATTCTAGCTTCAGACAGGAGCTCCATAATCATCAGTCCTTGGGTCCAGGATGTCTGCTTTCCTGCGGTCTTTACGAACAATTGTGTGTAAAACAATTGTGCTTTGGCCCAGCCCAAAGGTCCAGGGAACAAGACAAACATTGCAGTTCTTGTGTGTAAAACAATTGTGCTTTGGCCCAGCCCAAAGGTTCAGGGAACAAGACAAGCATTGCAGCTCCTCTGGAATATCAGCTCCAGCCCCATGTGGCCCGCGGGCCATAGTTTGAGGACCCCTGTCTGGAATATCAGCTCTAGCCTCATTTTAAAATGGTTCCATTTCTGTCATTTATCACACTGCTATGTTCATCCTTAATGCAATATGCCCATCCTGTGTTTTTAAAATACCTGGAAATTTTCAAAATACCTGGAAATTTAACTCTGAGGTCATTCTTACATTTAAGTCAGATCTTGATACTAAACAATGGGTACCTTCCAGAATACCTTTTCTAAGCTTGTAACACAAAGGGCTGTTGAAAACCTTTGCGTGGAAACCAAAGAAAACACAGGAGAGAAGAAAGGTGACATGAGTGGAGTTGTCATTTCACGTAATTTTGATCAGTTTGCCAACCTCATATTTGCTTTCCTATGCGAAGATCTCCATTGGCCAGTGTCATCAGAACATAAATCATTCCCTACAACTTCCCTTTTTAGACCGCTGGTAATCTAATTCTTTTGCATTTAGCCAAGTACACATAAAGTTTAATCACAGGCCAGAAATATGTGGAGTAAATTCCTCAAGACTAATACTAATCATATTAGGATATCAACTGAGCATACAAAAATGAATTAAAAATGAAAGATAGAGATTGAGATGGCAGTTACATGTCGTTAGAAACCCATGCCCAGTTCATCATTAGCAAACTCTCCTTTATTCTTCCCACACCCACCGCCCACTCCAAATTACGTACAGAAACCAACTGGAAGCATATGGAAATGATGCTGAGGTTCAGTCTGAACACTATAGTTTCTCACACTTTAATGTGCACCCGAGTCAGCTGAGGATCTTGTTAAAATGCAGATCCCGGTTCATTAGGAAGAGTGTAGGGCCCAAGGTGCTGCATTTCTAATGCGCCTCCAGGTGATGCTCATGCTCTGACTTACAGATGAAACTTGAAATAGCAAAGTTTTAAAGCAGAGTACCATTTGCTTTCCCAAATTGTCAACTGTCTGTCATTTTCCATAGACTATGTCACATTGCTCTGCTGACTGCCAACTTGACAGTTAGATTTATATATATATATATAGAAAATGATATTCTAAAAGTTGTACTAATTATGATCATTAACAGACATTACAAACACTAAAATATGCATTACTTGTCTAAAATGGAAAAATCCAGAATGTGACTAATCAGAAGTGATAAATGATATCTGTGTTTTCTAATAAATTATTTATATTTTGCACTTTTTTCATAGTTGACAATTATATTAATAGCGTAATTTCTAACATATGAGGTACTAACTTTTTAATGACATTGTAAAACATTAATCAAGTTTATGAGGTTTTTACCTTCAATTATGACACTATCGTTATTTTTTATTCCAAATTCGTTAAGCACATTTAGTTTAATTGTCTGAAAAGAGCTGCAGAAGGTATTTTTAATTTTTTTATATTTTGCCTGACAGTTACTTATATTTTACCCTTTTTACCCCACAGAAAGAAAGACAAATATGTTTCCTTTCTGCTTGCAGATGATGGTCAAATGCATTGTTCCAAAAGTCTAATATCGAAAATGCTTGTTGTTCTGGTTTATAATCACTTATAATATATTTTATTAAGTTTTAAAAGTTTAAGTCAAATATAATAGAGATAAAAGTATTTAAATATACCTATATTTTTCTTGAATTGTGTTCATTGAGCTATCTTGTCATCTTTCTTCTTACTAATTTTTAAATAAAACCCTCATATATTTTATTTGTTAACCATTCATGTTATATAATGTATGATCCCAAGAAATCAAATCAAAATATTATGCTAACCTTCATAGATGTGGCTGTGACCACTTTCAGATGACATCTTGTCAAAAGATGTTTCCTCACTTTTCTTGTCGGAATCTTTCACAGAATCATCGGGCTGGCTCCCAGGGTGACTCTTAAATGTTGGTGAATACAAACTTCTCTCTATTTCCACTTCCTGTTAGAAGACATGAAAGGGATGCATGTTAAAAGCTATCAGTGCGAAACAGATGTGGCTGTCAGGAGGCTTAGAAAGCAGCAGTGAGAGAGGGAAGAGGTTTCTAGGAGTGATGCTTTCCAATATGCTTTGGGGGAAACTCTGATAACTTAGCCAAGAACTGCAAACACACGTCTGACGCTTAGTTTACTTTCCTGCCACTAGTTCCACTTCTAAATTAGTTTTTCTTTCATGTGGCTTACTATTTCTCTAGTAAAAGGGAGAAAGTGGAAATAAGGTCACAATACAATCTAATATGTTAATACATGCAACTTCCTGAGGCCTGAGAAATATCCATCAGGGATTCCAAAAATTAGCAATATATCAACATGATATGCTTAAGAGAGAGGAAATTAGTTTTTTTAATGTCATGTTCACCATATAATGATAATCTTAGTAATTATAGAGCTCCCAAATTACAAAGCATTCAGCCACCATATAGTAAGTACATTTTGGCAATTCATAAAGATTGTGAAATTACTTCTTTGAGAACCTAATTCAAAAATTGGAGAGATCAAGTTTCCCAAAGGAAAAAAAAAAGTATAAAGGATATTCCAAATACAGGGAATCTTATGTTCCTTATTTTACAGAATGAATGATATATTCTAATACTACAAACCAAGCCACTCAGACTATTTTAAATAAAAAAATTATAAAAATTAAGTAAATAAGCTGACAGGTTGAGAAGCAATTTAATTTAAAAGTAAAGTAATATGTTGGAATATTTTCAATAGCTACTCATAAGTTTTGGAGTTTTATACATGAGGTTGTGTTTTCTAAACAGCAGCCATTCAAACAATGACGTGATGAATTACTCTTCACTTTTCTTACATTTGAAATTCATAGACATGAATGAGTCAACATTGAGAGATAGCTAAAAATTCTAAAATATTTCTTAGAGTAGATACGTTTTCTGTATCTATAATATGGTTGCAAAAAGCAAGGCTCTTGGAAAAATAATCTCTTGGCATGTTTTTTTTAATGTTCATGTTCATTTATAGTTATATGTAATTATACAGATTAATTTTAAAATATTGGTATGTGTTTAATAACCTGGCCTTAAAATATTCCCCAAATATATAATGTATACTATATTCCTTACTGTGACTTTTAACTGGAACTGAAAACATTTATAGGAGAAAAACACAGGAAAATGTTTGTACTTTTTTCAGTGCATTGCCTTTGACATTTGTGTTTCCAACTATTATCAAATACCCAAGGGTTCATAGCAGTAGTGATGTATTTTGCTGATGAGACAGTGTCAGCCATGCTGTGGCATGTGGGTGTGAGCTTCCCAGCTGGTGAAGGAGCGTGGCATCCTTACCTCAGTGTATTCTGGTGTCCTCTTCTGCTGTCATGTAAAGTGATGGCTATGAAACGAATGCAGTATGTTTGTTTTGTTTCAGCAATTTTTTTTTTAGAGACAGTGAAAGAGAGAAGGAAAGACAGAGAGAAACATCGATGTGATAGAAACACATTGATTGGTTGCCTCCTGCATGTGCCCTGACCAGGGCCCGGGCCAGGGAGGAGCCTGCAACCAAGGTATGTGTGCTTGACCGGAATTGAACCCAGTACCCTTTGGTCCGCAGGCCAACACTCTATCCACTGAGCCAAGCCGGCTAGGGCTCAGCAATTTAATCCAACTCCTAGCACTGGCAAAAATAAAATAAGATAAAGAGAAAATAAAGATGCATAAACAGTAGTGATTCCCTTCAGAAAATTTTTGTTTTGACAACAGTTGGAATGCTGAACATGATCCATGGAATCGACTGATGATGTGAAAGGACTCTCTGTTTCATATGGAAACATGGAAATGTGATTTGGTGAAATTGTTTAAGCAAATATTCCAGGCAGTGATGATATTAACTTACATTATATTGGTATTCTCAATTTTGAATTCATAAATATCAACCAATGGACTTATATGCATGCATATAAGCTTAATCAATGGACTCAGACACTAGGGGGGTGAGAGTACAAGCTGGGAGGTGGGGGAGGCAGTGGGCGGATAAGGACACATATGTACTAACTTAATCAATAAAGGAAAAAACGTTCAACTCAACAACAACAAAAAAAGCATCATATACTGAGGCCGTCGGGGACCCACGGACAGTCCACACACAAATGTAGTTGGCAGACCTGTTTCCAAGTCTCAATCATCAGGTCCAAGTCATTCTTAGGCAAGTTCCTTAGTGCCCTGGCACGGTGTAAGGAGGCGCCCATGTAGAGACCTACAAGAACTTCTCAGATGAGTTTGAATTGAGTTGCCTCTAATCAAACCAGAAAACTGCTTTAATCACTTAATCTGTTTTATGCACTGTGCTTCTACAAGAGATTTACTTTGAGTAAAAAAAATCTACTGGCTTAAATAAATGCACAAAACACCAGTTTAGAGGGAAACGGTGCAGCACTTAATGATGAAAAACGAACTGAAGCCTCCTTCTCCCCCCTTTGCTACTTATCAGTTCAGGTTACTTGACCTGTCTGGGACCAAGTTTTCTTATTTGTTATGTGAAGAGATTTAGTCACCAAACATCTAACATTCAATAACCAAGCATTTGTAGTGAAATTTTAATTGAAATAAAGAAATATTATTCATCTTTTGTACCTTCCAATCTAGTAAGGGAAACAAAGAGTAATGAAGCACATAAATCAATGTATATATGCAACTATGTACAGATCACAAGGAGAGATACATAATCTCTGAGTGTTTGAAATGGGGAAATTAATCTAGTGAGGAAGGTCACACAAAGCTCCCCTGCAGAAAGGAACTGCAGCTGATATTTGAAGGATAAAATGGGGCTTAGCCAAGTGAAGAACTTTCCAGGTGGAGAGAACATGTGCAAATGCCCAGGGCTGACAGGAAGCACATTGGATAGAAATGCCATTGGAGCAGGGCGCCTGAGACAGAGCATGGTGCTGGACGACTGGCCAAGGTAGATACACAGGCTGGGTCACAAAGGACCTTGAGGGCCATATTTACTATTCTGGTCTTAGCTGTATGGGAGTTACTAAAGAATTTTAACTGTGTGCATGCATGTGTGTGTGTGTGTGTGTGTGTGTACATGTGCACACAGCACAGAATAATTCTTCAGTGTGACAAGCTCAGCCTACCTATAAAGTAGGTTTTCTCAACCTTGGCACCTGTTGACATTTTGAACCAGATAATTCTTTGCGGTGGGGGGGTGGGACGCATTCTGTGCACAATAGTATGTTTAGCAGTATTCCCTGTTTCTCCCCAAGAGATGCCAGTAGCACTGCTCCCCAGTCGTGACAATCAAAAGTGTGTTCAGACATTACCAAATTTCCTGTGGGGAACAAAGTCACCCCTGGTTGAGAGCTACTGCTCTAGAGTAGGTTAGACTGAAAGAAAGTAAAAATATACGTGGGAACATCAGTTAGGAGCCTGTGGTAGTCCTCCACGCAAGTGATAGCCATCTTGGGCAAAGGATGGTGATGAAAATAGAAGTGAACTAAGTTGAAAGCGAATTAGGATGTAAAACTGACAAGACCAGGTAATTGATTGAATCTGAGGTTTGTATGTGTGTGAGAAAGAGAATTTCATTTTCTTTCTGGTGTACACAACTAAATGGATTATGGTACCATTAAATAATGTCAGAGCAACCAAGGAAATCTAGTTGGGAGAGAAGATAGATTATCAGCTGGGTACCAAGATGCCCAAAGGCAGTGGGATATGTAGCCCTATAGCTTAGAGGAGAGGTTCTAAATATAAACAATTTGTGACTCACCTGCCTTTTAGTGGCAATTGAAACAATGGATGTTGATGAACTTGCTTCAAGTATGAGGAGGAATAAGAAGAAAACTAAGCCTTAAAAAATGTTGACACTTAATATCATGGCATAGGAACAACAGCAGACAAGAAAAAGGAAGAAAATCAGAAGAAAATAATATCTGTAATGATATTGCACTCTTATTAAAAGCATAAATTAGGTAAGGACTTAAATATATCTTTTGAGTTTAGCAACATAAATATAAAATGTTGAGTAAAACTGTTTTGGTGGAAGTAAACAGGTGGAAAGGCAGATTAAAATGGGTAAAGGATTTACTGGGAGTTGGTAAGTACAGGTAACTTCTTGAATAGTTTAGCATTAAAGTAGAGGGAGAAATAGGGCAGTAACATGAGAGACATGTTTTGTTTTAAAGGGCGGGACTTGCATATGTTGAAAAGCCATTTGGAAGGATTTAGTTGGCTATACAGAAGAGGGAAGGAAATATCAATGGTGTAAAATCCATGAGAGGGGCAAGAAGATAGAGTGAAAAGCACAGAAGGAAATATAACCCAAAGATTGGTAAACATAAAGCATTCCTGTTGTCACAGAGGGGAAGGGAAGTAAAATTAATGTAGATATATATGATTTATGTGCTTGGTAGCTTGAAGATAAGAACATTCCAGTTTGATATCATCAGTTTTTTTTTTCTGTTAGGATGTGAAGTGTGATGAAAGTGGGAGGAACATTTGAAGACTTAGAAGAAAGTTTAATCTCATTGCTGTGGGGAAGTAAGTGAGATGAGCAGACAGAGATGACCATGGTGAATGCTGCACTGGGATCCCATTTACAGGGCTACTGATAGACCCTGTCGAGTGACTATGACTGAAAATTCTCCACAATTCTACTCCAGGCAGTGAGAAAGCGGATAGCTGACTTTAGCCAGGAAAAGGCTTTCTGAGGACAAAAAATAAGATAAAATGTGAGTTGCAGACTAAGGTATGGGAGGGGACAGGTACAAGGAAATTTAGGTTGCCATAAGATAACTAAGAATCCAAAATAGATGAAAAGGGAATAAAGTAAAGGAAGGGTGAATTAGAAGATAGAAAAAGAATCAACAGATGGAAATCCTGATGAGTTAAAGAATCCTGTAACTGAATACTTGGCAAAGAAAATTGGAAAGAAAGCAGACCAAGATGTTTGCTTGAGTGATTTGGGAAGTAGAACAG